GACTAATCCTATGTGGGATGAACATGGAACTTTTTTATCTCATGAATGAAGACCTTTAATGTTTGACATATTATAAGTAAAGACCAGTAAGAAGAAGTTTGCTACAAAAAGTTCATATTTCTTGATCATTTGGCAATTCCATGGTGATTTTGCTCTCTAAGGAAAAGATGTATTTTTTTAGAATTGGCAACTGACACATTTACCATTAGATGTCCCCAATATGCTTTTCTCAGTCTCTCTTCTGTTTCTCACACAAAAAATCCTTAAGGCAGTGGTCCCCTAATCGTGGAACATTCCTCTGTGCCCTCATAGGGAGGTATGACAGGGGTGCACAGTGGGACGTAGACCACACCCACAATGGGGCAGAGAGAACACCGTTCAGTCATGTATCAGAGGGGTAGCCGTGTTAGTCTGAATCTGCAAAAGCGACAAGGAGTCCTGTGGCACCTTATAGTCTAACAGATTTATTGGAGCATAAGCTTTCGTGGGCAAAGACCCACTTCATCAGATGCAGGTAGTGGAAATTACAGAGGCAGGTATAAATATAAGAAAAGAGTACCCATCAAGAGTAAGCCTAGCAATAACGAGGTCAATTCAGTCAGGGAGGATGAGGCCCACTTCTAGCAGCTGATGCGTCCACAAAAGCTTATGCTCCAATAAATCATTCAGTCATGTTCTGCCCCCATCTCCACCTTGACCCACCCTAAGCTGTAGCTCTACACATGATTCTCACCACCTGCTCCCAGCCCCACTCCTCATTTGGTGGCTGTCTCAGTAGATTGATAGCAATTTGGTAAGATCTTATACTGAACTATTATCTAATCGGAGAATTAGGATCTTCACTTCTTGGTGGAATTACATGGGCAAGAAAATGTCCATGTGCACCTGTTGAGGATAATTAGAACATGAGTATCCTGGTCTGAAAGCCATTAAGATGAAACTTTCAACAAAGGTTTTTATTTTGTTTGGTTGATTTTTTATTTATTTTGTCTGTCTTGAAGTTTGACAAAAAAACCCATAGATTTTACAGAGGAGGAAAAAAAAACACCCACATTCCTCAGTCTGGATGCACAGTGATAAAATACAAGACCAGAGCGTCTAGACTCATCCCGCTAATCCATTAGTTCTGCCTCCACCGCACCACAGGAAGCATGGATATAGGATTCCTGGAAGGCTGAAGAGAAGATCTGAGTGTGACTGCCATTCATCACACTGCATATGCAGCCGCAGCATCTCAGAGGAGCTGTAGCCACCAATGCAAAAGACTGGGGGAGGTTTTGGACTGGCTTCTACATGCAGTCCTGACAGTGCATGGTACCCAAACACCCTGCACATGCAGACCCAGGGTGAGGAGGCGGGCCCAAAGAGCAAAGCAAGGACCATGTGGCTGCCCTGAAGGGAGGAGAAGCAACTGAGGTGTTTGGGGTCACTCAGCCACTCTGCCATTACCCTTCCCTGAAGGCCAGTCGATGAATCCACACTCCACTCTCTGGGCCTTACACTAGAATCTTGTGACTAAGCAGCAGCATTCTTTCAAAAACCTCTTATGATCATTCTCCTTTGAAATCTCGCAGGCACTCCAACGGTGTACTTGCAGACGGGTGTTCAGAAGACAATGTACTAACAGAGAGCTAAGCTGCTGCCATTTGCAAAGGGAGGTGTGGCTTCCGTTTGCAATAGTCTGCACCACAGATTGTCAGCATAGAGAGGACTAAGGAAATTACTAAAGAACTGTGGGATACATCTGGAAAACTTCTGGGACCCAAGCCAAGCTGGTGCCACGTGCACATAGGAATACAATAGGGTTTGTACCTTAATCCCATTTAACAGAAGCTTAGACCAATGTTCCCTCTAATTTTTTTCATCCATAAAGTAATTAGTTAACTGATTAAAAGATAAGTTTAACTGGTTACCTGATTAAATGGAGGCAGGTGGAAGAGCTAGAGCAGCAGGCCACAGGCAGAGGACTGCTCCCAGTAAAGGTTAACCATTACCTGGTAAAGCATCCCATTATGGGTGATACTCACCAGGTAACCAGTTACCTGTTACATCCCTAGTAGAAACACATTCTGCTGACTGTGGGTGCTCTGCTAATCAGCTGAGTGGCATTTGAATCTCTCCTGTGTGGTTGCCCAAGTACTCAGCTTACAGGGAACACTGGCTTGGACCCTCTTGCCCAGGGTCCGGTGACCCCAGGTTCAAATAATTGGTGAGTGGAGCTGGAGGAGAAGGGCGAATTGGAGAGAGCTTCAACTTGAGCCTAGGATGAAGCCCAGGTTTTGGATACATCTATACAGCAACGCAAGAGACAGCTTCAGCTCCTCTTGCCTAGACCCCAATTGATCTCTCCTGTCCAGTCTCAACTATCCAAATTAATATATGCCTACACAGTGTAGCAATTCATTTTAAACCATTCACAGGAAGATAGTGCCACCTACAACCTCAAATCTTCAATAACGGTCCACGAGGACAGACAGAATATCTATTTCAGAAGCTAAAATAAAGTTTCCTTCTTGCACCCTGATTCAGCAAAACTCTTAAGCATGTACTTTAGCAAGTGTTATGCATATACTTAAATTATGGCCAGTGTCTTCAAATTCTTCCATAAACTTACCTCCTCTACCATCTTTCTATTCTTGCATCCATTTAACACTTTTCACATCAAACTTTTTTCCACATCAAGATTTTTTCTTTCTTGCATCTCTCTTCAAAACGTATAGTAAACCCTACTTGTACTGTCACCTCTCCTGCTCTTTTTTCTTCTTCTCTCCCTCACCCTATTATTTGGAATTATCTCTTGCACCCTTAACAAATTTAGAGTAACTCACCATTTCAAATAATCATTTGGTCTCCTAGAATAACTGTATGAGGATGTAAAGTTTTATAAATGTTCCAAATCACAAGGGTCCCATATATCATCGGTATTAGGATTACTGCATACATTAGTGGCATGGGGAACAGTGCCTACTAGCAAAAGTACAAATTGCTTAAATAATTCCTTGATAACTCTACAGAGAATTCACTACTTCTGGAAGCTATCCAAGGACCACTAGGACAGGCACACAGTATACTAAACTTGAACATCACTAACATGGATTCAGGGCAAAACTGCAACTGATCAGAACCAGAATCAGAGAGGCTACTATAGGCACACAATAATGTTTGAGACTTATAACATAACAGTTCTTAGAACAACTTTTTGATATGTTGGAAAATCAATTTAGATCCAGCCATACTAGATAAGAACAACTTGCTTGGAAACTGCTGATGTGAACAAAATTAGTCTTCAAAGTTAGCACCTGTGTTTATTCAGCTACACGATGACTTAAGAAAACAGTATTTTTATTTTATGTACAGGCAGTCCCCGGGTTACATGGATCCGACTTACATCGGATCCCTACTTACAAACGAGGTGAGGCAACCCCGCACTAGCTGCTTCCCCCCAGCAGACCAGAGAGACGCGAAGCTAGCACCCCCGCCCCCCAGCAGACCAGGGAGACGCGGAGCGGCTTTTCTCAGCAGACACCTCAGCTTGAGAATAAAGGACTGAGGGAAGTGAGGTGTGGGAGAATAAAACTGAGCTCTGGAGAAATGTTTGGCTAGAGTTTCCCCTACAATATGTACCAGTTCCGACTTACATACAAATTCAACTTAAGTACAAACCTACAGTCCCTATCTTGTACGTAACCCGGGGACTGCCTGTATTTATTTTACATTGAAGGTTATCTTCACAACTAAAAGCCTAAAGCTTCAGATGTTTCCAAATCAAATCTTAGGGCCTAACACATACTAATTATGACATCACCTTCAAATCCAAGAGATCTGCTGTCTCTTTACAGCAATTTGCCTAGATTGGGATTTAAAGGTTCCAACAGCCTCCTCACGGAACATCAGCTTCTGGAAGACTATGTAAGAGCAAATGAGACTGAAGCAGACCTGTGGCCCAAATGCCTAAACATCTCCCTGAAGAAGGGAGTCCCCCCACCCCGTTTGGGGAGTGTAATTTCAATTTTTTCCCGCCTCCTCCCGGGGAATGGAGGGTTTTGCTGTGCATTTTGATCAGGCGTTTTAAAACCTCTTTTGCCTTGTGATGGCGTGAGGGGACATCCCCACAGTCAAATTGCCCCTGCATCCACCACTAGCCTGAAGTTAATCAATGGGAGGTCAGGGGACTGGGTTTAAGGAAGGGACAAGCTGTACTCCAAATGCAACAGTAAGGGCCTTTAAATCCCATATATATGCTGATTATATGTAATGATTACTATATTTCAGTCCTCTGTTTCTTATTGAAGAGAACTATTTTCTATTGTCAACATTGCTAACTAAATTCCACTTCAGTAGTTCCAATGAGAAGCAGAAAAGAAAACAACTTAACCTTCAAATTCCCAGCTTCAATTTACAGGACTAAGTTAAAGATATATATAAAAATAACAGCTCATTTGATTTGCCTGTCAGTGACAAAGAGTTCCACAAAGTCACTTTTTGAAGCAGTTATCTTTTAATATCCCTGTGACAAACCCAAATCCTGCAGATTGCGGTCAACCTAAACTAGTGACTATTGAATATGGCATAGTTTTAAGACAAAATAATTGTTGACACCTCATGGGAAGCTTTAAAAAAATGTTTATGTAGACACTTCCACCACTGCCTTTCAATAACTAGGTACATTTTCATGAAAACAAGGAGGTGTCTCCTAAGAATTTGTCTCATCGTTTAAAGATAACCCTTTATTTAATGTCTCAAACATCTTCAAAACAGCTAAGCAACAGAGGATTGTCTCTTTAGGTGAGTGAATAAAAAGTACATAGAATTAAAAAGTTAACATATTCTCTAATATCCTATTCACATGCAAGATTCCACACTAAAATAATAAAGAAAACAAAACCAAATAAGAGTGCTATATTGCAGGATTGCTCATGAGGTATCAACAGGTCTTGAATATTCACATTTTAAGAGACCAAATTGAAAGTACTTACAGTACAGTGCTTACAAGTACTCACCCTTCACAACATGCTTTCTGGTTACCACAAATAAACATTCCAGGGGCTCCCAATTTGATATGGACACTTAGAATAAACAGAAAGAGTGGCCTTTTAATTAACTCTTACAAATTGCATTCAGACTCTAGAGCATTACTCTCTAAAACTAGATAACGAAATCCCAGGTTAGAAATTCAATAGAATCCCCAATACATACTTCTGATCCCTTTACATTTGTATCCTGGTGTAAACCTATACAACTCCATTCAGTGGAATAGCACAAAAGGTGAATTTTGCAAACACAAATCTAAAAATGAAGTCTTTCAAGGTCTTCATTTCTGAGAGGGAAAAGAAAAGAAATCTGAACTCCCAACTTTCTAATGCTGTATGGTTTCCACTCCAGAACAATGTGGATAGTATTTCAGAACTAGAAAAGAAGCTACTTGAACAAAATCCAAATTAATTTACATAAACACACCTACAAGCTTCTTTTCTTCTTCTCACTCCCAATAACTTCTGAATCACCTGCAGGCAACTATTAAACATTGAACACTACAATAATACCAGATTACACATCAGTCTTACTGCATCATATTTACCAGCCACTCGTTGACTCTTACAGTGTGAATAAATAGGCAGCTTCCTCCAACACCACCCCCTTACACCTACCAAAAATGACTCAATAAAAAACATATTTTTTGAAGTGTGCTCATGTTCAATACACTTTGTTCTAGAATCACAGTCTTCAGCCTATCTGAACTTGGGAAAAGCCAGGCAATGCTGTGGAAGACAGGGACCCAGTACTGAACTTTAGAAATTCGGAAGTTCACTCGAGTTGCTTTCAGGTACGTTTGTCAGTAACACGCCCCCACTGCCTTTGCATTTAACACCTTTGCTGCTACACCCAAGATTTGCGTATACATAGAGAAGGGGAATGTAAGGGGAGACTCAAAACAGCAACTCGTATGAAACAGCAAAAGGAGGAACAACCCAGAGACAGCTCAACAGCCCCCGCACGGAACATCAGCTTCCGGGAGACTATGTAAGAGCACATGAGACTGAAGCAGACCTGCCCAAGTGCCTAAACGTCTCCCCGCAGCAAGGAGCCCCCCGCCCCGCGTGGGGAGCGTAATTTCAATTTTTCCCGCCTCCTTCTCGGGGAACGAAGGGTTTTGCTGCGCGTTTCAATCAGGCGTTTTAAAACCTCGTTTGCCTTGTAACCGGGGGAGGGGGGGAGGGGGTTCCCCACAGTCAAACTGCTCCTGCACCCGCCACTAGTCTGAAGTCAATCAATGGGGAGTGAGGGAACTGGGTTTAAGGAAGAGACAAGCTGCGCTCCTCCTCGCGCCCGCCCTCGTTAGGGGTCCCAAGCCCTCGGCTCTAGTCCCGTCTTTGTCTCAGTCGGGTCGGTCCAGGGGAGGGGATCCCCTCCGCCGGGGTGGGCAGAGCCAACTTAGACAAAGGGCGCTTCACGCTCCGTGTCTCTCTCCAGCTGTCACCGGCCGGCAGCGCGCGCCCCCGCCGCCGCCTCCGGGTCCCCGCTTCGCTCTGCCGCCGGATTCACCCTCCCGGACCGAGCGCCAAACCCGGCGGCCCAATCGGCATCACGCTCATTGGAGAGAACCAAGCACCGCCCCGATTGGACGGACGTGGAGGGGCCGCCTGAGCCAATCCGCCTCGGCCAGAGGCGGTGCCGGGGGCGGAGCGTTCGCGCCCCACGTGTGGGGGGGAGGAAAGAAGAAGGGGTTGGAATGTGTGCAAAGTCATCAGTCTGTGTGTGGCTTAGTGCCACTCCCAATCGGCATCACGCTCATTGGAGAGAACCAAGCACCGCCCCGATTGGACGGACGTGGAGGGGCCGCCTGAGCCAATCCGCCTCGGCCAGAGGCGGTGCCGGGGGCGGAGCGTTCGCGCCCCACGTGTGGGGGGGAGGAAAGAAGAAGGGGTTGGAATGTGTGCAAAGTCATCAGTCTGTGTGTGGCTTAGTGCCACTGCAACTAGCAATCAGAGTATTTAAAATGGCTTCTGCTGGACTGTGCAGGAGAATCATTCAAAACATTCTAGTTGGAAAATGCCATGTTGATTCAACTGAAATCTTATCTGCTTTAATGGCATTTCATCTGGAAACAAAGTGGAGAAAAGTTTCAAAAATAAATGGACTGTCTTGACATTTTCAGAGTGGAAAGTTCCAATTTTTTTTCTGTGATGTACTGAGGACTGTTCTAGAGAGGTCTGCATCATCATAAGTTGTGGAATGCGTCACTGGTTTCTTCTGTTGGGAGGGAGAAACCCTCAAGAATCACAGGAAACTCCACAAAAAGCATTTTCTGGTCCCTACATAGATATTTCCATGTAGAGATAAGACTTGACCAATTATAAGTCCTTGGGATATAACAAACCCCACCAGAAACCGGGGCCCGGGAAGGGAGGGGCCAGGCTGTTGGGCGCTGCTGAGTTTGAATCAGTTCGAAAGTGGGAGCGGTAACGGTTTTAACTGTCATGCGGCTCCAGCGCGCGCGGGCAGCTCTGGGCGGAGACTAAGGTTCAGCCGGCTCCACTCAATATCCCTCCCCTTTGCCTGTTGCTTTCCGAGGGCGGGCGGGCTGCCCTTCCCCAGCCCCGCCCCCAGCCTTGGCTTCGCCGAACGAGTTCCCAAACCGGCTCTGCTAAACCGGTTGTAGCGCCGCCCGGGACCTGCCACCTTCCCCACGCAGCTTGCGTCAGTAACTGCATCGCTGCCCTGACTCCCGGGGCACGGAAATTGCCAGGCGGATCAGAAACGTGCCCAGCGTGGAGGGGCCCTTCTCCCTCCCCACCATGCGTGCTCTGTGCTTCGCCTACGCCATACAGAGAACTGCCCCCTCTCTGGCTTCAGGGTCCGTCCACATCCCTTTCCTCTGCTGCGGGCTAGGCGTGTGGAACCGCAGCCCTAACACAGCCCACCCACTCCTCTCGTACAACCACGGAAATCAGAGCACCAGCAAGATGTGCTCTGTCTCACCGGTCAATCGTGTCTTTTAGGTCTATCTCCTTCATGCTATTGCCGACCCATAGTCAAGTTGCTATTGTCCCTACCAGATTTTTAATCTGGCCGTCTGATTTAATTTGCCATCTCTATAGTCTCACATCTAGGCTGTGAGAATCTAGAGAGGGCAGGTTAAGGCTGATGACCAGATTATTGATCACCAGTTTATTGATGACCAAATTATTTAAATCTAGCTGATTTTTTTTTTCTGCATCATATCTGCAAGATAAGACCTTTAGTTTCAATCCATCCTGACATGCTCTTTGGAGAAGGGTCTGGTCCATGATTATCATAAACTCTATGATAATTTTAAAAAGTCTAGGTTCCCATCAACTTCTGTCTCAATTACTGCAACATCTTGTCTCTGGCTTTGACAAATACAATCTTGCCCCATTACTGAGTGAAGATTATTTTCCTAAATAGGCACTTTGCCACTGCCAGCCCTGCCTTTTTTTGTGTCCCTCTACTATAATCCAGTGGTGGGCATATGTGTGGCCTATGGGGTAAGCCACTAGCAGGCTGCCAAAAAGGCTGGTTAACCTTGCACCCCCAGATATTACCATCCAGAGCTCCCATTGGCTACAGCTCCTCTTTTGTCATTGCAACAAACTTAAGCTTCTTGATTTCATTTTGTAGGCCTTTCATAACTAAGATGAACAGATGTCCCATTTTCAAAGAGACAGTCCTCTAAAAGCCCCCTTGAAGGTGTTCCTACTTTTTCTTTAAAATTGGCAAATTGTCCCATATTTTCAGTTTCTCCCCTCCCATCAGTACTAGTTGGTCTTACTGCTGATCAGATACTTGCTCGTCAGCTGCCCATCTGCCAACAATGAGTAGTTTTTTAAACTTTTTGAGCTGAGCCCCCCACCTCATTGAGTTATAAGTTTGGGCTCCCCCATTATTTGCAAAAAACAAACAAACCCTAGAATGTTCAGGTACCTCGTCATTTTCCTTTAAAGAAGGACATTAATAAACTGGACAAGGTTCAGAGGAGAGATGAGAATGATTAACGGATCAGAAAACATGACTTAAAATGATTGCTATCCTTGAATCTATCTGTGTAGTTTAACAAAGAGAAGAGTAAGGGGTGACTTGGTTACAATCTATAAATAGCTACACAGGGAACAACAAATATTTGATAATGGGCTATTCAAATGAGTAGAGAATGGTATAACATGATCCAAGGGCTGGAAGTTAAAGCTAGACAAATTCATACTAGAAATTTTTAACAGTGAAGGTAATTAACCATTAGAACAATTTACCAAGGCTCTTGGTAGATTCTGTATCACTGGCAATTTTAAAACCAAGATTGAATGTTTCTCTAGAAGATTGGAAGTATGCTCCAGGAATTATTTTGGGAAAGTTCTATGGCCTGGACACCTGAGGCCTTGCAATCTGTGAAACTAGAAATCCTTTTTTAACACCCTCCTTTAAGATATAATAAATAGAATTAGGTAGTTGGTATGCTGATATCACAGCCAGTCATATTAACCAGCACTGTCTCATTGTTTTCTTGTGTTCCATTGTTTGTTTATCTCAGTGGTCACCAACTTGGAGATCGGGATCTACCTGTAGATCTTGGAGCCTCTGACATGTGACCCTGACTGGTTTGGCCAAGAGGTTATCAAGTGCTGGCACTTCAGCTGCTCCTCCCCTCACTGCTGCTCATCTCCTGCCCTTTGCCTTAGAGCTGCCTCTCCCCCTGGGGAGCCTCCTGCTTTCTGTGCAGAGAAGGGAGAGAAGGGGTGCAGATGTCAAGCTACCCCCTGCCAATCTGTATCCTTTCTCCACAAAGCAGAGACGGGGCACAACAGGACTTGGAATGCAGTTTGTTGGCTGCTTTAGGGAGTAGGCCAGGGCAAGGGTTAGCCTGCTTTAGCCCCACTGCACCATGAACCAGGAGCCACCTGAGGTAAGCAGTGCTCAGCTGGAGCCCACATCCCGAAACCCTATCCCAGTCATGAATCTCCTACACCCCAAGCTCCTGCCCCAGCCCCGAGCACTCCTGCATCCAAACATCCTCTGAGAGTGAGGTGTCATTTTCTAGGATAGGCTGTAGACTGTTGATACTGTGTTGGAAGGGTTTAAGTTGAGGACTGTAGGTGATAAGTGGAATTCTGTTGTTTTCTCTTCTGGGCCTGTCTTGAAGTAGTTCATGTCTGGGTACTTTTTTGACTCTGTTGATCTGTTTTTTTCACTTCACCAGTTGGGTATGTCAGTTTTAAGAATGCTGTATATAGATCCTCTAGGTGTTTGTCTCTGTCTGTGGGATTGGAGGGCTTGGCTGTATACGGTTGTATCCTAGGGCTTGGCTGTATACAATACATGGATGAGTAGAGGCATGAAGGTAAGTGTAGCGGTCAGTAGGTTTCCGATATAGGGTGGTGGAAATTTGTCCATCATTTAATAGTACTGTTGTGTCAAGGAACTGCATTTCTTGTGTGGACTGATCCAGGCTAAGGTTGATAGTGGGATGGAAGCTGTTGAAATCTCTGTGAAATTCTTCAAGGGTTTCTTTCCCATGGGTCCATATGATGAAGATGTTATCAATGTAGCATAAGTAGAGTAAGAGTCTTGGGGGGCAAGAGCAAAGGAAATGTTCAAGGTCAGCCATAAAGACATTGGCATATTGTGGTGCCATCGGGTGCCCATGTTTGTACCTCTGACTTGAAGATACAAATTGTCTCCAAACTGGAAGTAGTTGTGGGTGAGGACAAAATTGCAGAGCTCTGTAACCAGGTGTGCAATGTTGCAATCAGGGAATATAGCCTATAATCCATCTTCATGTGGAATGTTGGTGTAAAGAGCTTCTATGTCCATGGTGGCCAGGATGGTATTTTCAGGTAGATGACTGATGTTTTGTAGTTTCCTCAGGAAGTCAGTGGTGTCTCAAAGATAGCTAGGAAGTGCTGGTAGCACAGGGTCTGTTGTAAGTGTACCAATGCTTAAGATGATGGGTCGTCTGGGATTTCCAGGCTTGTGTATCTTGGGTAGCAGATAGAAGACT